TCCAATCTCATGCAATCTTTACAAAGAAGTCGCGTGGGATATCTGACTCTTAAGAAGTGCAAAAGATGATGCGATCGAGTTTAGGTTTTTGAATAGACTTCCTTGAGAGAGTGTTTTCCAAAATATTTGTTGATTTTTGTATTGCGAGACAATTCCTCAGATTATGCAGCTGAATCAGCGTGATGTGGAACCTGAAACCCATTTTTGATTTTTGGAATTTGAAAAAAATCACTTCAAAAAGAAAGACTTGAATGTTTTGCTTCTCCATCCAAATTCTTTTTTGAGATCTACATTTGCACGGAAATTCCGAGTCTTTGGGACTGCATTTTCAAAAGTACTGTTCTAAGTTTGAATACAACTCCATTTTGCTTTCCACTTCATCAGAATATAGGATAGTCAGTACATTGGTTCATAGCCTGCTGCCTACGTGTTCGATATGCTGAGGATATCGCTGTCACATCAGCAAATATTTGTTCAATATAAAATCCATGGGAGTCGGTTCAAGCAGAGTATGAGTTGGTCGCGGCAACGATATTGATGGGAACATTTACAGCACTCATGCTGGAATTGACTAACTCATGAAAAAATGTTGTGCAAACAACACGAGTCCATCAGCTTACTTCCTTGTTCCAAGTTTTGCATTTTCAATCAAAGCAATCCTGAAAAAACTATAATCAATATATTTCTTAGGTTTACATCAAGTCATATATAAAGCAATTGTATTTAATTTAGAACAGAACTTTTGAAATATAAAAATTCGACAATTACTCATTCGATTTCAAAATTTTGGATCCGGAATTTCAGTTTTGATGAACATACATTGCTGCTGAGCAAACCTCAATTTTAAGCTTGCTTCACAAACCAAGCGGCAGCCTCTAGACGTTACGGTGCCGGTGGAAGAGGAGGAAGCGGTGGTTCTGGAGGTAGTGGAGGCAGTGGAGGCACTGGCGGTACTGGAGGTACCGGCGGTACTGGAACTGGTGGTACTGGAGGTCCTGGCGGTGGTCCCGGTGGTAGTGGCGGTCCAGGTTGTGAAAACGGAGGAAGCGGTGAAAACGGTGAAGGCTGCGAAAACGGTGGAAGCAAATCTGGTCCATTTACCGACCGTACCGCCGGTGGTTGGGGAGGCACGCAAGGAGGTAGCG